CTTTCCAGCAGAAGGAGGCGTGGTTTTGCGAAGCCCCGCCCCTCTCCTTTGAAGCGAGAGTAGAAGGAGGCGTGGTTTTGCGAAGCCCCGCCCCGCGCCTTTGAAGTGATTGGAAAGAGAAGGAGGCGTGGTTTTGCCTTTGAAGTGAGAGGAAGAAGCAGGAGGCGTGGTTTTGCGAAGCCCCGCCCCTCGCCTTTGAAGTGCGAGGAAGAAGGAGGCGTGGTTTGCGAAGCCACGCCCCCTTCTTTGACGGACGGGCGGCGCAGCCTTTCAGGAGGGGCGCGGCTTGTACAAACCCCGCCCCTTCGCGCGAGAGAGACAACATCCGCCTTCGCAGCGGAAGCGGCTTCATTCTGCCGCCGGCCGCCGAGGGAGAAGCATCTCTTCCTGTGTGAGAGTGTGGGTTTCCCACAGGATGGGCCTGAGGCGCTGGAGGAAGGCCTGAGGATGCTCCACGCGGGGCGAGGCGGCGGCGTGGCCGAGGCGGAGGACGGGGCGACCACCTCGGCGCTCCGGAACGACCTGGGCTCCAACCTGTACCTGCTCAAAGGCCTGAATGTGCGCTTCCGCTGCTTCCTGGCGAAGGTGCACGAGCTGGAGAGGCGGAACCGGCTGCTGGAGAAGCAGCTGGCGGCGGCGCAGGACTTGGGCGAGAGACGGCTGCGCTACCGGCGCTTCCCCCGGCACCAGGCCGTCCAGACCGAGCCCCAGCCGGCCTCCCCGGCGCCCCTCCCGCCCAGCCTGCCTTCCCCCTCGCTGCCCCACTCCCACTCCCACCCGCCGCCCTCCTCCTCTTCCTCGAGGCTCCCGGGCACCATCTGGAGCTACCACAGGCAGGTCCGCCGCTCCGGGGAGACACTGCAAGGGCCCGGCGTGTCCTGGCTCCACCCGGACGGGGTCGGCGTCCAGATCGACACCATCACGCCCGAGATCCGCGCCCTCTACAACGTCCTCGGCAAAGTCAAGAGAGAGAGGGACGACTACAAGAGGAGGTGAGAAAATAGAGTGCGGGCCCTTTAAGAAGCGGCCCTGTGTTGACAAAATTGGGGTGCGGGCCCTTTAAGAAGAGCCGCTATGTTGACAAACTTGGGGTGCGGGCCCTTTAAGAAGTGACTCTGTGTTGACAAGCCTTTTAAGAAGCACCCTTATGTTGACAAACTTGGGGTGCGGGCCCTTTAAGAAGTGGCCCTGTGTTGACAAAATTGGGGTGCGGGTCCTTTAAAAAGTGGCCCCTCTGTTGACAAACTTGGGGTGCGGGCTCTTTAAGAAGTGGCCCCTCTGTTGACAAAATTGGGGTGCGGGCCCTTTAAGAAGTGGCCCTGTGTTGACAAAATTGGGGTGCAGGCCCTTTAAGAAGTGGCCCTCTGTTGACAAAATTGGGGTGGGGGCCCTTTAAGAAGTGTCTCTGTGATGACAAGCCTTTTAAGAAGCACCCCTATGTTGACAAACTTGGGGTGCAGGCTCTTTAAGAAGTAGCCCTGTGTTTACAAATTTGGGGTGCAGGCCCTTTAAGAAGTTACTCTGTGTTGACAAACTTGGGGTGCGGGCCCTTTAAGAAGCACCCCTCTGTTGACAAACTTGGGATGCTGGCCCTTTAAGAAGCACCTCTCTGTTGACAAACTTGGGGTTCAGGCCCTTTAAGAAGTTGCCCTGTGTTGACAAAATTCGGGTGCTGGCCCTTTCATAGAATCCTAGAGTTGGAAGAGACCTCCTGGGCCATCCAGTCCAACCCCATTCTGCCAAGAAGCAGGAATATTGCATTCAAAGCACCCCTGACAGATGGCCATCCAGCCTCTGTTTAAAAGCTTCCAAAGAAGGAGCCTCCACCACACTCCAGGGCAGAGAGTTCCACTGCTGAACGGCTCTCACAGTCAGGAAGTTCTTCCTCATGTTCAGATGGAATCTCCTATCTTGTAGTTTGAAGCCATTGCTCCATTGCGTCCTAGTCTCCAGGGAGCAGAAAACAAGCTTGCTCCCTCCTCCCTGTGGCTTCCTCTCACATATTTATACATGGCTATCATATCTCCTCTCAGCCTTCTCTTCTTCAGGCTAACATGCCCAGCTCCTTAAGCCACTCCTCATAGGGCTTGTTCTCCAGACCCTTGATCATTTTAGTCGCCCTCCTCTGGACACATTCCAGCTTGTCAACATCTCTCTTCAATTGTTGTGCCCAGAATTGGACACAATATTCCAGGTGTGGTCTAACCAAGGCAGAATAGAGGGGTAGCATTACTTCCTTAGATCTAGACACTATCCTCCTTTAAGAAGTAGCCTTGTGTTTACAAACTTGGGGTGTGGGGCATTTAAGAAGCACCCCTCTGTTGACAAATGTGGGGTGCAGGCCCTTTAAGAAGCACCCCTCTGTTGACAAACTTGGGGTGCGGGCCCTTTAAGAAGGACCCCTCTGTTGACAAACGTGGGGTGTGGGCCCTCTAAGAAGCATCCCTCTGTTGACAAACGTGGGGTGTGGGCCCTTTAAGAAGCATCCCTCTGTTGACAAACTTGGGGTGCAGGCCCATTAAGAAGCACCCCTCTGTTGACAAACTTGGGGTGCAGGCCCTTTAAGAAGTCACCCTGCCTTTACAAACTTTGTCATAATAATAATAATAATAATAATAATATAATGCAGGGAGGTGTGGCCCCTTTAAGAGCGGACCCCCATTGGAAGTCTGATTGGCAATAGGTCTGTGTGGGTGTGCAGAGGAATGGGAATATGGGGGTGTCATTGGGAAGGGGGAAGGTGACCTCTTTTTGGAGGGCGGGCCCATTGACATAGGGGATGTGGGGAGCCATTGGGAATAGGAATATGGGGGTGCAGAGGGATGGGACAATCCAATGGGAATTGGGGTGCGGCCCCTTTAAAAGTAAACCCCTATTGGGAGTCTGTGGTAAAGGAGAAGATGGGGAGGAAGAGTCCATTTGGAATTGGAATGGGGGGAGCCGCCCCTTGGGATTGGGAATATTAGGGTGCAGAGGTATTGCGCAACCCATTGGGAATTGGGATGTGGCCCCTTTAAGAGTCAACCCCCTGTTGGAAGCCCATGGTAAAGGGAAAGATGCAGAGGATGAGTCCATTTGGTGATTAGAAGCGGGGGGGGGGGGGGAGAGGCACCCCTTGGCATGGGACACTCCGTGGAAATTGGGATGTGGCCCCTTTAAGAGCTGACCCCTCTTAGGAGTCTATGATAAAGGAGAAGATGGGGAGGACGGGTCCATTGGGAATAAGGAGAGGGGGGAGCCAAATATTCTTATTCCATTGGGTATAGGAATATTTGGGTGCAGAGGGATGGGACGAGCCAATGAGAACGTAGGAGTGCTCCATTAGGATAGGTAATGGGGGGAACCCCCCCTTGGGATGGAAGGGTCCATTGGGAATGTGAATATTGGAGTGCAGAGGGGTGGGATGAGCCAATGGGAAGTGGGATGTGGCCCCTTTAAGAGTCAACCCCTCTTGCGAGTCTATGGTAAAGGGGAAGATGCAGAGGACGGGTCCATTTGGGAATTGGAATGGGGGGAGACACCCCTTTGTATGGGATGCTCCATTGGGAATATAGGGGTGCCAATGGATGGGAATTTGGATGCGGCCCCTTTAAGAGCCGGCCTCTGTGTGCGGGTGTGCAGAGGAATGGGAATATGGGGTGTCATTGGGAAGGCGGGTGGGTCCATTGACATTGGGGAGCCACTGGGAATGGGAATATTGGGGTGCAGAGGTTAGGAACAAGCCAATGGGCTGAGAAAGGCAGTATACAAATATAGTAAATAAATAACTAAATAATGGGAATTGGGATGTGGCCCCTTTAAGAGCCGACCCCTCTTAGGAGTCTATGCTAAAGGAGAAGATGGGGAGGACGAGTCCATGGGGAATGGGGAATGGGGGGAGCCACCCCTTGGGATGGGAATAGGAATAAGTGGGTGGGGGGTGCAGAGGGATGGGACGAGCCAATGGGAATTGGAATGCGGCCCCTTTAAGAACCGACCCCTGTTGGGAGTCTATGGTAAAGGGGAAGATGCAGAGGATGAGTCCATTTGGGAATTAGAAGGGGGGGAGTAGGAATATTGGGGTGCAGAGGGATGGGACAAACCCACAGCGTAAGGGAAAGCGGGTCCATTAACATAGGGAATGGGGGGAGCCGTTGGGAATAGGAATATTGGGGTGCAGAGCCTCTTTGGGAGTCTATGGTAAAGGGGAAGGTGGGGAGGATGAGTCCATTTGGAATTGGAATGGGAGGAATCACCCCTTAGTGATGGGACACTCCATTGGGAATGGGAATATGACGGAGGGGTGGGAGAGGCCATTTCGAAAGGAGGGGATGCGGCCCCTTTAAGAGTCGACCCTGGTTGCAGGGTAGACTACAACTCCCACTATGGTGAGCTAGTCCCCTCCAACCCCTCCAGTAGGTTGAGTTCGTCATTGGGGTTTTGTGTGCCAAGTTTGGTCCAGGTCCATCATTGGTGGAGGTCAGCATTCCTTTGGTTGTGAGTGAACTACAACTCCCAGAAAGGAAGCCCAGTTCCCCCCAAAACCTCTCCAGTAATCAACATTTGCATATCAGGCATGTGTGCCAAGTTTGGTCCAAATCCATCATTGTTTGGGGTCACAGTGCTCTCTTTGCATGTAGGTGAACTACAACTCCCCCAAATCAAGGTGAATTTTGCCCAAAGAGCTCCAGTATGCTTTGCTGGTCATGGGGCCTCTGTGTGCCAAGTTTGGTCCCATTCCATCTTTGGTGGAGTTCAGGTTGTTCATTGATTGGAGGTGAACTATATATCCCAGTACCCACAGCTCCCAAATGTCCAGGCCAATTCCCCTCAGAACCCACCAGTATTCAAATTTGGACACATCGGGTATGTGTGCCAAGTTTGGCCTAGATCCATCATTGCTTGGCTTCATAGTGCGCTCTGGCTGTAGGTGAACTACAACTCCTCTGAATCCCTCCAAAGACCTCCAGTATGTTTAGTTGGTCATGGGGATTCTGTGTGCCATATTAGCCCCAGTTCTATCATTGGTGGAGTTCAGAGTGCACCTCTTAGATTGCAGGTGAACTATGCATCCCAGTGCCTACAACTCCTCTAAATCATGGTGAATTCTCCCCAAACCTCTCTAGTATGTTTAGTTGCTGATCAATTCCTCTGTTTGCCATAGGAAAAGGTACGAAAGGGTTAAGGGAGAGGCGGTGGGTGGGGGTCAGGCAAATTCCACATAAACGGAGAGAGCCAGGAACATTGGGATGTCTGTGGTGGAGGAAACATATCTAATCTAGGAGAGAATTGTCCCCAAATGAAAGCGTTCCTTGGGAGTGGGCATTGTGATGTTGGTAGAGTACATTGGCAGGACTCTTGGGCACATTCATGCAAATTCCACACCAATGGAGAGAGTCAGGAACACTGGGATGTCAGTGGTGGAGGAAGCACATCAAATCTAGGATGAAATTGTCCCCGTATGAAAGCCTTCACTTGAGTGGTGGGCAGTATGATGTTGGTGGAGAGCATTGGCAGGACTTTTGACATGTTCATGCAAATTCCACACCAGTGGAGAGAGAAAGGAAAACTGGGATGTCTGTAGTGGAGGAAACTCCTCAAATGTATGATCCCTTGGGTGGTAGGCAGTATGTTGTTGGTGGAGAGCATTGGCAGGACTCTTGAACATGTTCATGCAAACTCCACACCAATGGAGAGAGTCAGGAACAATGGGATGTCTGTAGTGGAGGAAACTCATCAAATCTAGGATCCGTTGGGTGGTAGGCAGTATGTTGTCGGTGGAGGGCATTGGCAGGACTCTTGAACATGTTCATGCAAACTCCACACCAATGGAGAGAGAAAGGAAAACTGTGATGTCTGTGGTGGAGGAAACACATCAAATCTAGGATGGAATTGTCTCCAAATGAAAGCATTCCTTGGGTGGTGAGCAGTGTGGTGTTGGTGGAGAACATTGCCAGGACTCTTGAACATGTTCATGCAAATTCTACAGTCAGGAACACTGGGATATCTGTAT